CCGGTATTCAGATGTTTCTAGTCTCTGGATGATGCCTTCACCTCCTGCCTCCCCTTCACCTGTCCTCCTATTTATCCTGCACGCTACCCTCACTGACCCTAAACTCCTCCCTGCAAGATAATCTATTAGTGAGTCTCTCCAAGGATTTAGGAATTTAAAAGAACTCCTCCAGTTCCTACCCCTCCCTGTCTGCTTCTGAAAAGGTCCTGGAGACTCTGCTTTGAGAAGGGAAAGGGGAGGGATAGCAATTAAGGGTCAGCCATAACAGAGAGACTAGTTAGAGCAAGGGTTCAAGATATGCCCGTGCCACTTAATAAGTTTCCTTAATAAGCAGGGTCCTACTTGCTGCTGAGTATTAGGTGCCCTTCCCGGGGAAGCTGCGTGGTTGCTCAAGAAGTGTATCTGAGACGTGACAGTAGCTGCCAAGGCTCATCAAACATGCCATCTACCTACTTCTGCTGACACATGTGAGAACAAATGATACTGCCAGAAGGAAACAGAAATCGTTTCTTAGTGACTCAGAGCCTCAGCTATGAGGACACGGGTGATGTGTGCATTGTATTTTTCAATTGAGATGTGCACCTTTTTTACAGAAAGAAATCTAAAGATCAGAATTTGAGCCCTGGGCAAGGGATCACCAGCATCATATTGACCACCTAGTAAATGCCTGCTGCATGGTAGCAGAGTGCTAGGAGCTTTGCAAAATATTTATCTCTTAAAATCTCACTTAAGCTTTGACATCAGACCAAAAGGAACTGCAATCCCTGCTCAGCCACTGACAGTGAGCAATTTACTAAACTTCTCTGAGCTTTTGTTTTTAAAATAGAGATAATAATACCTCAAAGAATTGTTATGGTTAAGTGAGATAGCTTATGTAGAGTGACTGGCATTTAAAAATAGTGAACATTTGAAGAAAGAAACCCCACATCTTTTCATATTTTTTGATACCTGAGTCATAGAAGGCATTTAATATAATGACATCTACAACAGTAATAATAACTATAGGCATAATATAGTTAATATAGGCATTGTTATATCATTTTAAGAGCGGTTAAGTCACTTGCTCATAGCAACACTGTAAGAGCAGCTTGGGATTCAAGCCAATTGTGCTTTCCCTCCCAACGTGAGTGGACATTACATGTTAATTGAGATAATGTTTGGCTAGCCTGATCTAGTCATTGAATTTAAACTAAAATTTGAAGAAAAAATCTTTAGATTAAGCTCTATATAGTGAAATTCTACATCACTGTATAGATTATTTGCATCTATGTTCTCAGTTTGCCTTTTTAAACCTTTTTTAAATTCTAATAATAATTTAAGAACAAACTTCATACAGACTTTAGAACAAAGAAAAAAGTGAACTATTGTTCCACTATCTTAATAAACTCTCTAACTTTATCTTATTGCTGTTTTTTTTCCAGTCTTTCAAAAATCCATGACACAGTTATAATCATACCATTTTCTATGTTGTTACATATTCTTCATAGATACTATTTTTATGGTTGTATACTGTCTAACAAGTGGATATGTCATAGAGTTTATTTAATCATTCCACTATTGTTGGACATTTACATTGTCTTAGTTGATAAGTGTTTTAAAAAATGATGTTGCTTTCACCATCGCCATAATCACCCTGAGAGACCTGGTGTCCTACTCTATCAATGCTCAATGCTTTTCGTCATTTGACATTTAAGCTTGATGAATGTCAGCTTTACTGCTAGAGCCTGAGATACGTTTGCAAGAGTATTATTTTCTGCCGGTTTTCAACACACAGATTCTGCATTTCATCTTCATGGTGAATAAAGTGTGGACTAACCTGGGAACCTAAGTTCTAGAGCATCACGCTTTTTTCTAGGGGGAAAATGTCTTTTGAGGTACAAATGAGTAATTCACAAAAGAACTTTGGGAAGTCCTGCCATTGGTGAATGGGGGTGTTTGTCTGACACTCTGACCAGGGAAGTGAGATGTCTCATTGGCAATCACACCCCAGCTCTGAAAAATGATCTTGCTGCAGCACAACCAGATCTGGCCTTAGCAAATTGATTCGGTCCCATCTCCAAGAAAAGATCAAATTTGTATGTAAAGTGGGCCCCAGGGTCCCTTCAGCTTTAGAGTATTGGCTGCTTTACAGAAGTCCAATTGTTTGAGGCCAAACCCAATGCCAAGAGTGAACTGGGGAGAGAATTTCAATTGGGTCAATTGTGTTGTCTCTTTCCCTGGGAAAGAAGACCTTTCTGGGCCTCCATTCCTCCCAGACTTCAATGATACTTCTCTCAAATGCCTTCATATGATCACCAATTGCCCATTGTCACCCTCAAAAAATTGCTCTGACATATCAACTATCTCTAGGACAAGAGGGGTGGGGGTGAAGGGACATTTAGAATGCCTCCCCAATTCTATCCAGTCAGCAGACAGCTACTCCCCCGCTCCACCTCTGACTCTTGAGGATTTCTGGAAGGCGTTCAAAGGGAAGCACCAAGGTCAATTTAGTCCCACAGAATATGAAAAGTTATCCACAAAGTTACCTTTCATATTGTATAGCATTTATCAGGGAGAATGCAATGAAATGGGTTCTTACCTGGTCAAAAAATTGTACTCAAAGATTAATCATGTATTTCAAGGTGCTGTTGTGTCTATCAAATGAGACCATACATGTACAGAACTAAGCCTAATGGCCCAGTATCTAGGAAATACTTCACATATATCAACGTCTATTGTATGAGTAATAGAGCTGGTTTAAGCAGTGGTATCTTGCAGAGGTATGTTGGGGGACAATTTCCACCAGATTGGAACTGTAGCAGCATATATGAGATCTTGCACTTGGGCTCAAACACCAACTAAATACAGAATGAAGACTCCAAAAAGAGCTTGGATTTACTTTTTTAAAAAAAACGAATAGCTTTAGATGAAAGTAATTTCAATATAAGGACTTTATGTGAACTGTTTAGAGTGTGCATGGGATTTGTGAGTGGTGCATGCATGTGTGATGTGATTATATTGTGTTGTGTTTGAAAGGTATGTGATGCATGTATTGTGTGTGTGCTCATAGCCTTGCACGTGGGCATGTATGGGTGCTGTAATGTGTATGTATGGGTGTGTTTATGACTATGTATGTGTACCTTGGGTGTGGCATGAGCTTCCAAACAAGGGAAAGTCAACCATCCAGGACTGTATTTATAGGGGCACAGCAGGAAATCCTCTTTTGGTCAGGTCATTGGGCATTTATAACTTGGAGCATATTCAAAGAAGAGCAGCTAGATGTGAGTAGGGTCCTTGCAACCATGTCACATGTTAAACAGATGAAGACACTGGGGAGGTTTGACTTGGATAAGAACAAAAGTGAGTGGGGGAGTGGGAGAATGGGTTGGTCTGGCACTGTTCCCTAGTAAGGAGAATCATGGAAGTCAGCCAAGGCAGAAGCTTCCAAGACATAGACTTAGGCTCAGTTTAAGGAAAAGCCTTCTAATTTTAATAGAAATTGCTGATTTTAGATAGTAGTGGGCTTCCTTGTGTAATACAGACGGACTCCCTCCTACATGGTCATTCATAAAGGAGCCTTCATACCCTCAGTCTCATTGGAGCCACACAACAATCTTCTAGTTCAGGCAGAGGTAAAATGGTTCCTTCCCATCCTTCTTTCGAAGGTAGGGTATTACAGCAGTAAGGCTTTAAAGGGTATCTTTGAAAATTCCCTTTTAAAAAATTTACCAGGATCACATATAAACTTAAAAATGCAAAAGAAAAAACTTTCTCTGTGTATGCAGCTCTCTTTCCTTCTCAGAGACCTTGTGGCTGGCCAAAGACTGTATTTGAACTGGCTAAGCATGCTGTAGTCTCTAAACAGGAGGTCAAACTCCTGGGATGGTTCTCAGCAGGGTGATGGGGCTGGCAAGAACTAAAAACAAGTCTCTGCTGAATTAAATTGCTGAGGCCCCTCCTCTGTCTGCCTCCCTTCCCCCGCCTGTGAGGGGGCAGAGGAAAGAGGAGACAACCCCAGGTTTGGTCTATGGCTGGTGACCAATGACGCACTCTCACCAATATAGATTTTGGAGGTGGAGACTATGGAAAAACAGGTGGCCGTGGGGGCAGGTGGCAGCCTGGAGGGGGTGGAGCTTATCAAGGGGGAGTGAAGGACAGTGTGGATGGGGGTCCTGGGGAATGTCAAAAAGAAAGTATCAGTCTCCTGAAGCTTTAGGAGAAAAAAATCATCAATTTTCAAATTGTACTTCGTAGAAACAGTTCCAGAAAAAGGGCGAAATTAGACCGACATACTTACACCCGTGCTGTGAACTTGCACGCGGAAGTCCTCAGTTTGACAGGGATAAGGGGAACCAAGCATTGATCCCAAGCACCCAAGGAAAGACTCCGACTAAAGACCCCAGCCCTCCGCCATTGGGCACTCTGGGGCAGTGGGCAGTTGGCAGAACCTAAGCCAACCCAGATATGCCGCAAGCTTTTTGGGTGACCTTGGGCAGGACTTTCTTATCTCTGGACTTCAGTGTCATCATCTCTCAAATGCACGGGTTGAATTCGACGACTCTAAGGGACCCATGCTGATATTCTGTTCTGAGCTCGGGACAAGAAGACAAACTTCAAAACAAACGGAATCCCCACCTCTTTCGTCAGGCTCCCTAGCTACCCTGCCAGGGACGTTCATTCTTGGGCCTTTAGGGCACTTGGGTTGCGGGACAGCGCTCCTGCGCGTCAGGCCCCAAGGCTCTGGCTGTCCCTGCGGGCGGCTGAGCCAGCGACTCCGCCCCTGCGCTCGCCCAGCGTCCCGCCGAGCCATTAGCGCGATTGCCCGCGGTTCCCGGCAAAGCTGGTGATTTATGCGGGGCCTCGACGGGGCAGTCCCTTGAGCCAGGAACAATTAGCTAAAAGCCGGCAGAAAGGGAGACAAGGGGGCGGCGAGCCAAGCCCCAGGGCGTCCAGCCGAGACTGCATTCCCCCGCCGCCCCGGCAGAGCACCCCTGCCCCCCGACTCGGTGGGCTCCACTCACCACGGCGGGGGCGGGGCTCAAAGGCCGACGCGAAAAGGCAGTCCAATATCCACGCCATGACCAGCACTGAGTGCTCAGCAGCTCGCAGCTAACCTCCGCGTCGTCCCCCGCACTGGCCGCCCTAAGTATCCCCCGGTGACCACGCCCTGAGCCGCACCCTGCACCCAACTAAGAGTGTCTTGGTCACCGGACACCTCGAACATGTCACGAAGGGGGCCGGGCCTCAGGGGAGCCCCCTCCCCCACCCCCCCCCACCGCTGGAGGAGAGGCCGCTGGTGCCGCAGCCCCTTGCCCCACGCGGTGGGAGGCTGCGATACAGCTCCTGTCCTGGGAAGCACTGACTCTGAGGGTGGGACCCTGTCCCTACCCCAGGGAGCCCAGAGTCTGGGGGGAGACGCCATCTCAGCCCTGGTGAGCCCCGAATTTGAGAGGGAGGGAAGGTCCCTGAGCCCCTGCCCCAAGCGCCCTTAATGGGGCACGTAAACATGGGACTTTCCCCAGAAGCTGGAATTTGAAGGCAAAGTGGTGCACTTGTCCCAGGGAGCCTCAGATCTGAGGGCGAGATTGTATCCCAACTCCAGAAAACTCCATGGTTTAGCGGAGACGTTATCTCAGCCCTCAAGAGGCCCAATCTAAACCGGAAGCGGTGTCTGCCCCTAGAGCCTTGAATTTGGAGAGGCCTGCCTCAGCCCTTGGGAACCTTCCCGCCCCCACCCTTAACTCCTGTCTTAGGAGAGACACCATCACCTCAGCCCCGAATAGCCCCAAGTCTGATTTTAAGTCACTGCTCCATTCAAGGGGACCAAAAATGTGAGTAGGAGAAATGATTTTTGCCCTCCAAGGAGCCCTGAATCTGAGTAATTTTACTCTCCTGTCCTGGGAATCCCGCAGGAAAGAGGGAGATGCTCTCCTGCCTGGAAACCTTTGTTTTGAGGGGGTTGATCACCAACTGAGATAAAAAAAAAATCTAGTGTCTAGTATGAATAAATGTGGGGTGCCCCCCAGTTGCTGTTGACTTTCAGATTCTACTGCCTATGCTTGTGTTCAGGGCACTGGCATAGGAGGGGGACCAACATTTATTTTTGAAAGAATTTTATATTTGATATTTCAATGGGGGGTGGTGCTGTATTGGATTTTCTTAAACTTCTTTTATGGCTTTGTATTTTTTAATCTGAAATATATATGGGGGCATACACCACAATAGGTTCAGTGTTCGAATCCTCTGGTGTTGGTAAACCAGCCCTGCCCTCCAAATCCTGGAGTAGAAGCAGCCACCAGAGATGGGCCACACTGGGCAGGAAGAGCTTCTAAATGAAATTTCCTTTTTACTTAAAGCCCAGGGGCCAAAATTAATTTCTCTCCCAATTCACCACTGGTAGCTGTACAGACATGACTCTGTGCCTTTTTCTTCTCCACTGGGAGAGTGGGGCTCTGTCGATCAAAATTCTAGAAAGAAGGTTGAAAGAAATATGGAAAATCCTCTTCCAACAGCTCCATTGCAGGCTTGAGGAGTGGAAGCTGGAATCACTGGTCCTTTGGGGAGAGCAGTTACTACATTTGCTTTGCTAACCACTGATACTAGCATTAACGCGGCAAAAGGGGTATATAAAATGGAAAACGCGCCTGTACTTGGCCATGCAATTCCTAGCAAAGCAGAACTATTTGCAGAGTTTAAAAGCTTTCCACTCGTTTTCCGTTCTTTCTGGGAAACATGGTACCTCTCTGCTTTTGCACCAATTTCTAAATCATTTCCAATTTTCTCTGTTTTCTAAAAGCAATCAAAACAACAAACATTCACCAGACCTGCTTTTTTTAAATATTTTTTAACCAATTTCAGTCTCTAGATATTATAATCCCAGGCTTATGGCTCTTCCTTTCCAAGAATACAGGGGTCCTTAGCATTCCTATTGAGCAGCAGGAACCCTCTAGCTTGGATCTGCAATTCCTTATCCCAGGTGTGTGCTCACAAGGGGCACACTGGAACTCTTTGTCCTCTTTCCATGAGTTTAACCAGTATCAGCTTTGAAATGAGTTCAATGGGTTCTTTTTTTTTGTCCAACTGAGTTCCTTTTGGGGGGGGCTCCCCTCACGACAAAAAAAACTGCCTGCTTGAGCCCAATCCAAGGGTCCTTGGTAACTGAAGTTTCTCTGCTTCCAGAGTAGTTCTACCTAAGATACACACCCATGACAGCTATCCTTTGTTGCCTTTTTCTCAAGAGGTGTGATGTGGTAAAACACACACACACACACAGCTAAAGACACTCAAAAACCCTAGATTGGAAGCCCAATTCTTCTATGTTTTATCTATGCAATCTTGGGATGATCATTTAATCTCTCTAAGGCTTGGTTTCCTCCTCTGTAAAATGGGAATATTAATAGTTTATGAACAAGCTCCAGACAGACCAAAGAATCTACTCTTTTGAAGAGAGAGAAAGAGAGAGAGAAATATAAAGATCAAAATCTAACATGATGATAATAATAATAATAACTCAGTAACCAAGTTAGCAGTTCTCCCCTCTCCTTTTTCTTTGACCTGCCTACCCTGTCACTTAATTATTTTGTGTTAAGTTCCCTTTGAAAATCTTTATCCTTAACTAAATGTCACATAATAGGGGAATGCGTTCATCCTTCAATCCATTAATTCATTCCACAAATATTTATCAAATGTCCTCTAGGTGCCAAATATTGAGCTATGCAAATAATGTTGATTCACTCAATGAATTATTATGCAATTATTTTTAAATGTATAATCCTGAAACTTATATGATAATCTGAAAATACACTTATAATGCTTTTAAATGAAAAAGGCAGGATGCAAAATATGTGTACACTGTAATGTAAACAGTGCAAATAAATAATAAGCTTATACACAGAAAAAAAGAGGGCTAAAAGGAAACACACTAGAATCTTAATTGTGATTGTGTTTAAGCAACGCGATTATGGGCCATTTTTAACTGCTTTATTGTTTTCATATTTTAGTGTTTTCCAATTTTTCCTTAATAAACATGTATTATTTTCTGGAGTTATAAAATACTACTTGAAAAATTCTATAACTTTGTCTTAGTTGAATAGAGGACTAAGCCATACAAGTGAATGACTAGGCCTTTTGGTTGGGGTTATGCTAATGGCACAGAGGACTAGAGCTGGCTTTGATGACTCAAAAAGAATTGGAGAAGTTGGTCTGTGAGTAAAATGCAGAGAACTCCCTTCCTGCGCAGGGGTACTTAGCCAATTATGGCTCTTCCTTTCCAAGAATGCAGGGGTCCTTAGCATTCCCATTGAGCAGCAGGAACCCTCTAGCTTGGATCTGCAATTCCTTATCCCAGGTGTGTGCTCACAAGGGGCACACTGGAACTCTTTGTCCTCACCCTGACAGTGTAAAGCCTGGAGCTTGATTGCTTGTTGCATTTACGGGTCTCCCATTGTAATTCCCATTAAGAGCCAAGCACCCTACTGCTAACTTCGGTCATTATCTGCCAAGAGGTCTTTAGCCACAATGATGAAGTCAATCTGGAGGCTTGTTGACCTTGAGAAGGTAGGCTTAAAACCTTCCTCATTTTTTTCCTGAAGCCCAAAAGTGTTTGACACCCAGGCAAGCAATAGCTAATTGAATGGAACTCTAAGAATCAAAAGCCCTTAAATCTTGTCATGATCAGTGTTTCCCAAAGTGTGGTCCATTGGACTAGGTTCATTAGAATCACTTGGAATGTCCTGTAACGAAGAAATTACCTACTCCCACTCCAGTCCTACTGAACAAGAATTTCTGGGCATGAGGACCAGAAAATAGCATTTTTAACAGACTCTCTATGGGAGCTCTCCTTCCCACTAAAGTTACAGAAATTCTAATATAGAGGAGAGAAGTCCTCCCATGCACCACTATCTTTTTCCCATTATTCCCCAACTACAAAACCACTAGGCAGTTATCTGGGGAAATTTATCACTTTAACTTCACTCTACTTCCTTTGGGTGCCTGAGAACATACATAGCATGAGAAATTGACCAAATCTTGAAACTTGACTCCTAGTAGAGTCTAGGTGTATTCAAAATGAGCATACTTCATACAAGTCATCCATTTGGATTTTCTAGGAATCCTTGTGTATATGTCTACATAGCACTTCCCAATCAGGTTATTTCATTTGAACTCCTTACTCGCTGTGTTCCTTGCATCAGGAAAGACACAAACGAAACACAGAGGAACAAACAGTGAAGTATCAGCAATGACACTAGACTTGCTGACTGACTGGCAGGGTGAATGTGCGTACGTCTGCTTCCCAGCCTGAGTCTCAGGCTCCATCTCCGTGAAATGGAAATCTTAGTCCTCCTGCCCACCTTCCTCTACAGGTTGTTATGAAGGTCTTTGCATTTTCAGGAATGAGATAGCAAAGTACTGTATCCCTGGGCCCATGGAAAGAATTGGCAGATTAGCAATCCTGCCTCTCAACATTTCCTTTTTAGAAGTCCTATAAGAAGGTCCACATAGAGTGCACAGGGACCATATGTCTCTCTAAAAAGGACTCCAGGTCCCAGGACCTCAAGACTCTGCTTCCCTTCTTTTGTGTTTGTGAAAGATTTAGCTGGGCTGCTGGGGAACATATCAGTGAAATCATGGGGGGGCTTTGTGGGACCTCTTTGAACCTCAAAAGGGCCTCGATTTCTTTATTTCTCAAGTGAGGTTATACATAGACAATTTGAAGTTCCTTTCCAGCTACTTAGCAGCATTATTAGGATATACTGCTTTCATAGCACTTTATTTTTTGTAGCTCTATTACTTCTAAACATTTTCATATCATTGAAAACTGACAAAGTCCTGGCACCATCTTTGTGAGGTAGAAATGAGAGAATTATTTCCATTTATTAGGTTAGAAAAGCGAGGCAAAGTAAGTGACTAGCCCAAAGTCACCCAGGGGAAGAAAGATGAGCCGAGACCAGCCTCCACATCTTTCGTCCCCTGCCCCTTTTTTTCCAGTATTCCACGCTAGATCCCAGGAGCTGTCTATCAGTGTGCTGTGAGCTGACACCACTCAGGAAAATGCAAGTTTCATCCTGACACCAGAAAGACAGAGCTACGATTACGCTTCAGTCCCCAAGGAGGCAGAAAAATTGCTTTTAGTTGACAAGTGCATCTCCCACACACATACCCCTCTGGTTGAATGAAAAGATAAAATCAAGTTAAAAATC